CCAGAATCAGCTCATTCTCCTCCATCAAACTTTGAGAGTTTAGTGTCTGGTTCCATTGGAGTAGAAACCGGGTTGGAGTCCTCCATTTTAAACTTCTTTAAAATTTCACGTGCATACCTCTCTTGGGATATAAAAAATCCTTCCTCTAATTGCTTCACTTCTAGGCCAAGAAAATATTTCATCAGCCCTAAGTCTGTCATTTCGAACTCTTTCTTCATTACCTTCTTGAACTCCTTAATTAGCTTCGTATTGCTTCTAGTAAATATGAGATCATCGACATAGAGAACGACTACCATCATATCCTTTTCTGATTTTTGTGTGTACAAAGCATGCTCGTATGAACATTGTTCATACCCATTTTTCTCGAAATACTCATCAATTCTCTCATTCCAGGCACGAGGAGTCTGCTTCAGCCCATAGAGAGTTTTTCTTAATCTCAGCACCTTTTTCTCATCCCCTCTCTTCATGTACCCGAGTGATTGCTCAACATACACCCCCTCCTTCAGCAGTCCATTTAGAAATTCCGACTTCACATCCATTTGAAGGATCGGTCATTGGTTCTGAGCAGCTAATGAGATCAGAAGTCGGATTGACTCCATTCTCGTGACAAGAGCATATACTTCATCATAGTTGATTCCCTCCTTTTGTCTATAGCCCTTCACCACAAGTCGAGCCTTATAATGTTCAACCTCTCCCTCAACATTCATCTTCTTTTTGTACACCTATTTTACTCCAATGGGTCGAGCTCCTTTAGGAAGGTCAGTCAGTTCCCAAGTTTTGTTGCGTTCAATCGCTCCAATCTCCTCATCCATGGTTGTTCTCCACTTCTCATCTTGGACAGTTTTCTCAAAACTCAAGTCTTCAGAGTCAGCCAGAAGACATACAACATGAACTTCATTTGTAGTGTCGTATATTTCCTGTAGATTTCTCATCTTGGGCTATTGTGGCTCTATTTCTTTATCTAAGGACTCAATAGTTGTTATTGTTGAAGGCACAACAATTTCTGAACTAGTTTCTTCTTCTACCGGGTTACTCCAGCACCAATGCGTTGTTTCTTCCACGTGAACATCTCGGCTTACCACCACTTTATTGTTAACAGGATCAAACAATTTATACACTTTAGATTTTCCATCATACCCGATAAATATGTACTTCTTACTCCGATCTTCTAATTTAGTCATGTGCTGACTTAGTACTTGCCCATAGGCCATGCTACCAAACACCTTCAAATGAGAGACAATCGGCTTCATACCACTCCATATCTCCTAGGGCGTCTTCTCACCTAGCTTTGCACGTGGACATCTATTTTGCAAATAGATTGCGCGTTGCACCGCCTCTGCCCAAAATTTCTTTGACATATTCTTCCCTTTCAACATAGATTGAACCATATCAAGAATGGTTCGGTTCTTTCGTTCCGCTACACCGTTTGGCTGCGGAGAATATGGGGCAGTCAGGAAACGTTTAATCCCATGTTCCTCACAATATTTGTTGAACTTAGTAGAAGTGAACTCGCCTCCTTTGTCAGATCGGATTGCTTTGATGACTTTGCTTGCTTCTTTCTCCACCATCACTTTGAATTTCTTGAAAGTTTCAAACACTTCTGACTTCTCCTTCCGAAAATAAACCCACGTTTTCCTTGAAAAATCATCAATGAAAGAGACAAAGTATCTCTTACCACTAAAAAATTTTGGAGTTATTGGCCCACACAAATCAGTATGGATCACTCCTAGTTGCTGCTTTGCTCGACACTTAGAACTTCTTGGGAAAGAAGTCCTCGCTTGCTTCCCAATCACACATTCTTCACAGAATCTTTTTTCGAATTCCATTATAGGCATTCCGAGCACCATCTCCTTTTTCACCAGCGCAGTCAACCCACCAAAGTGAAGATGACCAAATCGAAAATGCCACTTCATGGCCTCATCCTCCATATCAAGTTGCATGCATTTATCTTGAACTGTTTTCAGCTCAAGTTTGTACATGCGATTTTTCTTCATTTCCACCAAAGCAATAAGCCTCCCGAATTTATCTTTCAGTTGTAGTTCTCGATCCTTCATCGGAACCAAGTACCCCTTCTCCATTAACTGTCCATGCTCAATATGTTGCTTTTGAGATCAAGTACGTAGTATACATCTCTGATCTCTCCGATTCGCTCATTTCTCTGTTGATACCAGATCGTTCCTTGACCTTTAACAGTTACTTTCGAAGCATCACCGAAAGAAACAGATCCGGACTTCACCTTTGAAAGTATTTTGAATAAGCACTCGTCACCACACATGTGGTTACTAGCTCCGGTGTCCAAGTACCAAACCAAGTTATTAGAACAGTTCAATTTGACCTCAGTTTCTGAAATGTTTGTCACCATCAACAATCCTTCATCTTCTTCCTCAGCAAGAAAGTTTATTGGTTCCTCCTTTTTCTTCTCGGACCTACAATCTTTAGAAATATGACCCAATTTTCCACAATTATAACATTTTACGGAGTAACAGTCCTTGGCAACATACCCATTCTTTCCACAATTATAACATTTTACCGAGTAACAATCTTTGACAATATGCTCATTCTTTTCACAATTATAGCATTCAATATTGTTTATGTTTGTCCGGCCACCCCGAGCCTGTCCTTGGCCACGCCAGTTCTGTTGACCATCTTGCTCATTTCCTCGTCCTCCTTTTCCTCTACCACCTCGGCCTCTGCCTTTTCCTCGCCCTCTAGTACTCTGAGCATAGAACACCTTTTCCTCTTTTATTGTCGCCTTTTCCTGGAGAGCCTGTTCAAGGGACTCCCCCTTCTTGTTTTTCCTTCTTTGCTCATACACTTCTAGGGACCCAACAAGCTCTTCAAGGGTGAGCATTGATAGATCATTGGACTCCTCTATTGCGCACACGATGTTCTCGAAATCATCTGTCAATGACCTCAAAATTTTTTCAACAACTCAATTTGATGAAAGACACTCACCATTCTGATTCAGCTTGTTCACCACGGTCTCCACCCGAGTAATGAACTCAGATACGCTTTCAGACTCTTTCATCCTCATGTTTTTCAGCTCGCCCCTAAGGGTTTGAAGTCGAACTTGTTTCACCCGTTCATCTACTTTGTTTGCTTTTTCAAGTGTATCCCATGCTACTTTGGAAGATTTTGCATTAGCTATCTTCTCAAAGCCGGATTTGTTGACAGCTCGATATAGCAGATATAGAGCCGCCTTGCCTTTAGCTCAAACGACCTTCAATGCGTTTAGCTGGGCATTTGAATACCCATTTGTGTTCGTCGGTTCCTCATAACCATTCTCGACCACATCCCAGTTATCTTGGGAGCTGAGAAGAGCCGTAATTTGTACCTTCCAGTTGTCATAGTTGGCGTCTTTCGTCAACTTGGGTAGCGGGATGCCATTGGTTAGACCTGTCATTTCCTCTCAAGTGTTTGCACTCAACTCACACACCTCACAAAGCTCTGAGTCGCTCCTCTCTCTTTCTCAGCCAGCACACACTGCAACGTTCTCTCTTGAGGCTTGGTGGGTTCTCTCACGCTCACCTCACACACAAGTTCTGATGCCAATTTGTTGGTAACAGGAAACGAAACAATATTCTCAATATTTCTTCTGATGCTATTTCAAATGAGTTGTTACAAGTATTTATGACAAAAATATTTGTCTCTTCAAATCCCAAAAGTAAATTATGATACCCATTAAATAGGTTTATAACCCATTAATTATTCGTAATTAAAACCATTAATATTATTATAAAAATACTAAACGTCTAATTTAAGTTTTACAAAAGAGGTTTATATTATTTTATATATATACCAAAAAAATGAAAAAAATTGTGAAATAAAATATGTGATTATGAAATAGAGTGAAATGATGTATATTATTCCTTTGAAGTCACATAATTGGAATCAAATTATTCTACCAAATAGTCTATTGTATTTTCTTTCTTGTAAAAAAAGAAATCATGTCAACTCAAGTTAATATTAATATTTGAAGGCATCTAATACGAAAATTTATTAAAGTATTACAATGTATGAAGAATTTCGTACAAAAATATTTTCCAGTTGGACATCACGACGTAAATTGTGTATAGCCATCATATAATTTATTAAAGGGATAACTTGTTTTGTATTTTTGTTTTAATCTAGAACCCATCTTTAAATACTACGTTAGCCATCTGATTAATTTAGGTCATGCCTGGTACAATCACTACACTTTGTAAAACTTCTGATTCAAGTTTTTAACAGCCATATTCTCACAAGTAATCGCATTTGAGGCACAAAATCTATTACGAGTTAATCTACCAGTTATGTTAGTAGTATTTCTGTTGCTTTGGTTACTAAAAATACTTATATAGACAGATTAACATTTAAGAGGAAAAAAATTCTATAATGCTAACTTGATCAAATAAAATAATTAGTATTTTTTTAAAGTATCCTTATCAATTCTTCCCCGTAATACAGCCTTTATAAAAATATCTTCTTTGCGTAAACCACGTGTTAACTTGTGTAGAGTAGAGCTATTCCAATTTAAGTAGTGATGTTAAGTTTGAGTAAAAATAAAACTACGTATAAAGGTGTAAGTGTGTCTTTTTGTAAAATGTTTTTTTTATCATATAACATTGATACTGATAAAGGAGTGTTTGGTTGAGGAAGAAAAGAGTGACTGAGAGTGTGGAAGTGGCCCGGCCCAAGACCATGCCTTGGGCTTCTGCAGTGAAAATACTGGAACACATTCATGGTCTTGTGGTTCTTACTTGCAAAGGAGTTTGGGCCACAACATTAAGTTACCAATTTGATGACCAAAACACAACAATATGAAACAAGTTTCATAAGATATGCCTAAGAAAAAAGTTTCTCAAGAAACATGACATGAACCCTCCAAAAACAATTATACATGTTCCTACAAATTTATGTACATCGTCATTCAAGATAATCAATTGTAGCTAAATACATTATTCGTATACTTTGCTCATTGCAACCTATAATATGTATGTTTGTGGCAAATCTGATGTATCCTACACAAATCTCTGTAAGGATGAAATAAAAGATTTCTGACTTTTCAACATGTAGAACAAAAACTCATTCCATGTGTCAATAGGGCCTGGCAAGCACCAATGAACACAGTCATTATATTTCACAGTAAGGTTCATTGTATGTCCCCAGACATGGTTATTGGGATGCCCATCAGGCCTACGCAGCATAATTTCAGTTGTGTTCATCAACAAAAACTTCAAACCCCTCTTCCTTGCTTTCTTTTTCGCTGCTCTGAACTCCTCCACTTGAACCTTATATGTCTCAAAAATGAACCCATCAAACTTCATTTCCTCCTTGCTGTAAGGCTTTGTCCTCTCACAACTCCCTCCTTTGTTCCACTCAACATTCTCAAAGTGTGCAGGAGAGAATGTTCTCAGAAATGTCAACCCCTTGTAACCTTTGAGGTTTAGGATAGTTCTGAGTGCAGTTCGGAATGCTTTTCTGTATCCATAGTAGTGAGTAAGGTCTATGATATTGCTTTTTTCACACTTGTGGCACCCTACAATCTGTCCTTTTTCATAGAACAATGCTGGCCGAAAGAACCACTGGCCAGCTGAGATAATGACAAAATCGAAGTTTACAACCTCACCAGTCCACGATTCTTCTGCCTTATCTAGATACAGGTTCGTGAGGTTGGTGTGAAAATCGCTGGCTCTCACCAAAAATGGGGACCAGAGTGTTACAACTGTAAAATTGTAATCGGCAAAGAACCATCTTCGGAAATATATGGGATCTGTAGCATATCTACTTGAAATATCCTCAGGACTAGCAACCTGAAAGAGTGAATAAATCATGGAATCGTGTTTTCTGAGGACTGCGACTTGTCTTCATTTCAGAGATGCATGTTTTGTGTAATGTTATATATGTATGAAACTCATCAACAAATTTGGTACGTGTGCGTTATAACAAGTGAAAGAAAGTAAAAGTGGACTTTGCCAAAGGGAGACACAAAGCCTCTTTCTCTGGTTTTCATTCCTCAACAGGAACTGGTACTTTTCTTGTTTCTTAGGAAACAGTTTCCATGCACTGATCACAACATAAAAAGCATAATTTGCTGGTTAATTGGGATTTGAGAGATAGAGTTTTGTAATATAATATAATTCAAACTGTGTGTTAGGAAATAGTTTTTTAAGTAATAAACATTCTTTGAGAGAGACTAAATAATGAGTAGGATAGAAAAATTCAGCAGATCTATTTCACTTTAAAATGAAGAAAACATACACTGTGTCATTGATTGATCAGTGCTTATTACTTACACGATTTAGAAGACACAACAAAGAATTCATTTGATTTCTTCCTACGGAGTCTCCAACAAAGGCCATGGACTTTCCTCTGACAATCTCTAAGAAAAGGGTTGCATCAAAGAGTGGAAGCTCGCATTCTTCTGGTTGCCACCTCCATTTGAGGAACTCCCTATCAGTTCTCCCAAACTTCATGCAGTTTTGCTGGTCCATTATCAAATTGCAAGTCTCATTATCATAATAAGGTCCTTTACTGTACGGAACCCACTCCCCAGAGAACACGTTGCATCGTTTCATCTCTGTGACGTTGAGATCATAACTGCTTCTGCTAGCATATATCTTACTAGGAGAAAAGAAGCTAGAGTTTCTAGTAAGAGAAAATGGTAACATGAACATGAGCACGGTGAATGGAAGAAGAATAACAAGACTCTTGAGAATGTTTGCTGCTGCATAATTCCCACTCCCTTTGAGAAGTTTCATGGCTAAGATACAATCTGCATCAGAAGCTTTGCTGAAATGGCTTATATATCCATACATACCTTGTAATTTGATATGTGGTTTAGCGTAAATTTTTATGAAAAAAAAAACAAGCTTATAAATCATTACACACAATGATAATAAACCCGATAAATAAATAATTATGTTTTCTTTGTTAAGGTAGGATGAATATATATAACTTTTTAATGCATTAAGTATAAGTTTATAAAGTATTTATTAAAAATATAAATAATAATTGTGGAGCTAATTGGTTGATTTTTATCATATAGGAATTATTTAATGATTAATATATTTAATTAATATTTTTCTTTCATTAAATATTTAATGTTGTTGATGAATTGAATGAATATTTTTTATGATTAGAAAGATCCAGAGCCTGAAATTGTATTATTAATATTAGACACAGAATTGGCATATTAGTGATTTTATTTGTATTTTCAAGGTGGGGTCTAGTAGAGCTTTTGATTAATTTAGGATAAATTTGTAAAGTATTCATCAAAATATAAATAATAATTATTTATTTGGTGATTTTTATCATATAGCAAATATGGAAATTTTTAATATTTTTCTATTGGTAGCTTTTTTTATGTAGAAAATTAATATTTTATGACCATAAAAATGGGTTCAAATCGCTTGTAGGAGTAATTCAAAGATTCAGAACCTAAAATGGTGATATTTGACATGCTGAAATTGTAGAAGAAATTGAAATACGATGCTCTTGTTTTCTTTATTAAGGTGGGGATGAATTTAGCTTTTGATTAGTGCAGTAAATATTTAATTAATGTGTTGCTTCTATCAAGGTTAAATTAGTTTTTATTTCATCGTATATTTATAAATTTCAATTTCATCTTTATTAAAAACTGACTCAACTTTATCTCTTAATTTTCTATATCATCAATATTATCATCAACATGATTTGCATATCATAAATAAAATTTATTAAATATATAATGAAAGACAATAAAGAAACCAAAATCTTAATTATAACAATTAACGATTAAGTAATTATTTAACGAAAATTATTAAGTAGTCAGGTAAATTTTAGAAACTAGAATTTTTATTTGGTAAATTTTTCAGAATTTGGCATTTTTATAAGCAAATGTTATTATTCAATAATAGTTAAATAAGATATACATGGTACAAGAGATGAAAGACACAACATATATTATTTTAAGTGTCATTAACTTGTTCCAGGTTGTTTTAATATAATCAGATATTGCGTTCAATTTTTACAAATGTAACTATGTTAAATACATTAAAAAAAAATACTGGTCATAATAGTTCTGCACAACTCAAATAAAATTATTTCTAATACAATAAATTGATTTCTATATATATATATATATATATATATATATATATATAAATAAAGATTTTCATGTGTTTAACATTAGTTACTTTTTTTTCAACAGTCTTTGTCGTGGTAACGGTGGGACATGTTTTTTGAAGCAAAATTTAAAAGGAAAAGAAATGGACATAAAGCAATATCTGAAAAGTACGTGACACTTGGCACCACCTTTCAAAGTGAGAGGCCTGAAAACATTAAACAGGATATATGAAGGATTAAAAGGAATGTGTGGTGAGAAAATTTTGATATTCATTATAATTAAAAACTTATTAAGACATATATATATATATATATATATATATATATATATATATATATATATATATTAGCATTAAGTCCCTATGATGAGGTGTAATAAATCATAAATATAATATTTGGGCAACATAAAAAATAGTCAATTGATGCAGTTTTAGTTTCCATATGTCATTAATATAGAAGGAGTGGGTGCTTAAAGTTGAGAGAGCTATTTATATTTAATATTCAATAATATTTTAAATATGATTTTTTTTGAAAAAAAAATATTTATAAAAATATGGATTAATGAAAGTTTAACTCCTAATTAAGGAGACGTTTTATCAAAATCTAATTGAATTATTTTTTAAAATTGAATTTTATTATCGGGTCACTTTTTTTCTTTCTTTAAACCCGATGTTGTTACGCAATAAACACTGCTAACTAAACTTGGTGTAAAATTAAGAAAAAGTCAAAATAGAAATAATGAGTTTGCATTATTGTTATGAACAAAACTTTGCAGAAAGTGGTTGATAATAGAATTAGTTGAGAAGAAGGTGGTGGCCTTGTAAGAGAGGGAATAATGTACAAGTCAAGCCAAAATCCTAAACGCCACTTACGATGTGGTCCTCGATCGTGTCCAACAATATCAATCAATTGCCAAACGAAATTATTAATCTATTTATATATCTTTATGTCACTAAAACTTCCAAAATGCAACCTTAATTTTATCTAATTTGCTCCAACAATAAATAGTAATAGACATGTTAATTATGCTATTGGTATTTTCAACTGAGAGAGTTAGTTAACTCAATAACTTGTTGACTTACGAAATTAAACTTAAACAATTTTAAAGGTATATATATGAACAAACCTATATGAAGGTAATTTTTTAAGGAAGGTACCAAGGACCAGACTATAGTAAAAATGTTCAAGCAGTAAGTTACAAAACAAATCAAATTCATGCTAGCAAGATATTTCCTTGGAGTGGCATATAATTTATTCATTTTTTTTCAATATTTGTACTGGTAGACTAGATAGAATAAGATGATAAAAATGTAACAATGTTGTAACCTTAAAACTATTTGTGTTGCGTAAGGTTCAATCGATGGCATAAAAGATGGTGCCACGTTTTTGTTAAGGGGTCTTTTTCTGTTATTATCAAGCTAAGATGCAATCATGCAAAGCTTGAATATTAGCCATTTGATTTGCTTGTTTTTGGTTGTATTAGCCACAGAAAATGACGCCATTGAAAGTATTTGATTGCACATGTACCAGTCAATTTATGGTCCCCGTATTACTAATATTTAATATCATACTTCATACTAAATACCTTAGAAAATTATGTCTTTGAAGCGACTGTTTAACTCTAACCAGATTCAATCCATTGGGATCTTGTAATTGAACCATGGTTAATAAGACTTTACCATTTTCAAGCGACTCCTGCCAAGTGCGTATATTTGGTTTGAGAGAGCATGAAGTGGTCCTTACATTCTGAATTGTGTAAAGAATTACAAGACATTATAAGATGAGATTGAGATACATAAATATTTAACTCCAAAAAAAAAATATCAAAGAACATAAAAAAAAGTTATAAAAAGGGGATCATGGTTTAGAAGATTTACAATACATGTGCGCAATGAATTACAATAACAAGCAAGATTACGTAAATACGTAATAAATGTATGAGATGAATTTCATTTGTCAATGTGAACGCAAATGAAGCCTCTCTTCAGCTGATCTCACACCCTCCATCTTCAACATTCCCAGTAGAAAATCACTCCATGTGTCTATAGGACCAGGCAAGCACCAATGAACACAATCATTGTATAGTGTCACATTTTCACTGGGCCAATGACCATATCTACTTGGGTGACCATCTGGTCTCAACAATGTTGCTTGTGTGATATCAAATAGCCGATATTTCAAACCCTTCTTTCTGGCTTCCTTTTCAGCAATTTTGAACTCCTCCAACTGAATCATATAAAACTCCAAATTGAGGCCCTCTAATTGTGTCTCATTGCTCTTAAATGGCTTTGTTCTGATGCAATTCCCACCCTGATTCCACAACCCATTCTCAAAATGAGATGGGGCAAATGTCCTCAGAAACACTGTCCCTTTGAAGTTCTCTAATCTATTGATGGCCCTAAATGCAGTCCTGATAGCCTTTCTGTAACCATAGTACATGGTTAAGTCCGGGACATTTTCTAAGAGGCAGTAATGGCATCCAACAACTTTTTGTTTCTCATAGAACACCATTGAACGTGTAAACCAATGTCCTCCATTCAGAATCACATAGTCAAAATCTTCAATTTGGGTTATCCATTTCTCATCTGGCTCATCAAGGTAAAGGTTGCAGAGCCCAGTTGGGCCTGGACCCTTCGAATCTGCTTCTTTGGATCTCACTAAATGAGTTGTCCAAAACGCAGCCATGGTGAAGTTGTAACTTGGGTACTTCCACCTCATGAAATAATCATTTCTTTCATATGATACATCTATGGGCCATTCAGCCTAAAAAATTTAAAATAAAAATGGTTAGAAGAATACTTGTACTAACAACCAAAACAAATATGCTACTTTTCTAAACAAAATAAAAGCAAAGAACAAGACTGTGGAGTGAGATATATAGTTCATCAAATAAGCGTCATTGGCTACCAAACAAACTTCAAATGTCGTTTCTTTGAAATGCGTATGCTTGTTATTATTATACAATAATGCATGACGTGATGCAATGCTTAATTTCTATGTATTTTTTTATTCATGTGGTGATAACAAGAACAACAATGTATTATTCTTTTATTAGCTCATATACGCTGTCTACAAACAAAATTTTCAAACTTGAAGAACTATTTTTACTCAGATGCATTTAACTAACAGTACGTAATGCTGGTTTTTACACAAGTATCCCACTATAATTATACAACAAGAAGAAAGATGAAAACGAAAAGAAAAAGAAACTGTATTCTGAGATACAATTGCAATATTGTATGATGTCAAGCCACATGTCACTGCTAAAAGTTATAGGTAAGTTTCTAAATTTTAAGCCATCTTCGTACTATATATATGCACTACTAATTTTAGACTCCTAAACAATGGCCAACTTTTGAAATCATTCTGTGTGTAACATCACCTTTAGAGCCATTCCTTTCAGGCTACTTTATTATCTGAAGTCATGTTTTTCTGTTCCCAGTGAAAAGAAAGAAACCGTGCATGTTACAAACTCGGAGGATCCAGCTCATAGATGTATTGTTTACATGTGAACTTTTCCCAAAAAGTCACACAAATGGATAGCTAATCTAATTAATAATGCATTACGCTAATGCCAATAATACATTATGATATATTCACTTTTGTATTTGGAGTAAATAAAATAATTGAGTGGTCCCATCTGGTCTCTGATCTTGGACTCCCTTCAAACACAAACTAATATGAAATTTTGTCCATGCATGTCCTTATGGATTTGGTTGGCCAAGCTTTAATTTGCCATTAATTTCATATTCAACCAACGACTTAGCTCAATGCAAAGTCCTAATGTTATCAGAGAGTCTTTGACGTGCACAAAAGCATCACTGGTTTTTCTAATTTCAGAAAATATGACCTCTCAACCAGCTCTATTATTTCTGCTCAGCTTCAACAATTATTGAACTCTCCAGACCACCTTTATAGTTCTCCTTTCTCTCTCTTCTCTCTGTCTTTCTTTCTTGTAGAGGATAGAGTTTGATGTTGCAACTTGAACCTATAATAGCAAATCCTAACTGCTCTTAATTTTGTTATTTTTGTTCCTATACACACAAGACCCTCAATTTACTAACTAAGGAATTTAGTTATTTACATAATTTTCACAATAATATGCTAAAGGCTGTACAAATTTTATTCTCTGAATCTCTCTCTATTGCATCTCTGCATAAAGTAATGCTAAAAAAAAAGGAATATTGTAGAAGAGGATCAAGACAACTCAAAAGATTTTTATAAAAGCAACCAAACGTAGTATAATAATTATATATACTGATCCAAACAACCACTTAGCTAATAGCCCTATGCAGATTGGTTGGAATGTCAAAAGACAATCTGACATAAAACAACAAGAAGCTGGGGCACCTTATGTTTTTCTTTTCACCTGCGTCATACAGCAGAAATGCAACCAAATAGTACATCCTTTAACACATTCACTATAATTAGGTACATTGTTACATGTTTTATATATTCTTCATTTGATTTCTTTTTTTTTTCTTCTAAATTTCTTCTAATAATTAATCAACTGTTAAACACCATCTTATAATTAAATGTGAAAGCTCAGTTCTAAAGCATTTCTACTTTCTCGTTTGGCAGGACTTGGAACAATTATTGAAGTCTGAAGTGCAAGTTGACATAAACTCTTCATAAAACTCTCGTATAATTCAAAGCAGAAGCCAACAGGGTGAAATTACTAGTACTATCAACAATGACTAAATTTTCTTTTGTTGTTGTTGAAAGTGTTACTAAGTTATTGTCAGGGTAGCTTCCCGCATAGGGTAATTGTGGGAGTACTATTGAGTATTGAGTGCAGCACAAGTATGTCGTGACGACAAATTTTTCCACAGTAACTTTTGGGTGCTAGAATTTTTTAAGGTTTTGAAATTTTGAATAATTTTCAAGGGACAAAATTTTACCGACACTTTTTTATGTCTGCATAGAATACTTAATATTTTCTTAGAGAAACGAATTGCTATGAGTTGGAGTGATAAACTTAGATAATTTTGGTAAAATTTGCATCACTAATTTAAGTTTATAGATTTTCTTTTATGTGGTAGCTAGACTCAGACGTGGAGGAGAAGGTGTGATGAGTTGAATGTGATTGGCACAGTTTCCCGGGAAAAGATTCGTTGTCTCGACATGCATGCTGAATACTTTCACGCATGTTACTTTCATTTTATCATTTACCTAATCCTTGAATATCGTAATGGCTTAGGTGAACCAAACCAGCCACCAGAAAAATGGACAACATATATATACATATTATATATATATATAATCGAAATAGAAAAAAAAAAAAAACAAAACGTATTTATGTATACTTTTTACAAATATGTGTACATGAGAAGAAAAAAGAAAAACAATATTTGATTTATGTGATAAAAAACTTTAATATTATAAAAGTGCTACAAAACAGTGTTGTATGGATAACAACTCATCGAAAATAAGGTTGGGATAAAGACACTTGGAGAAAACCCAATCCGTTCTGACTAATTGTATTAGATAGCTTTTAAAAATAGTTTAATATGCTGAAGATAAGGTTAAGATAGTGATTTATACAGGTAATTTTGTCTAAAAACTTTATGGTGTCTAATCCTCACGAGTCTACAGGAATTAATGATGTCTGCTCATAGATTTGAAATCCCATTTTCTCCACTTGAAATTTTTAAACTTCAAAAATAACAACGTTTAGATTTCCATAAAGTAAAGGAAAAGGTGCTGTTGTTTACTACTAATTATTCAGATATTTAACATTTGTGACTCTGAATTCTAGGTAAGGCCTGTCATGTAATCAGATCCAAAGCTAATTTTAAATTTTTTAAGTATTATTTTGACTGGTTGGTGAAAAATAATCCCTCAAGCTAACGTTAAAATGAGACTGCACTTGATAATATTTTAGTTTTTGGAATAAATAAATAACATATTCTGCAAATTAAAAAAAGACCCTTATAGAAAAGAAATTAACTAGCTAAAATTCTCTCAATGATAAAAAAAATCACTTCAGAATTCTCTTACCTTAAAATTGAAAAAATTATAAAAACTAGGCACCAACATTAAAGCATATATATCACGTAATGGATTCAAAATTTTAGAAAAGAAATAAAAAATAAAATGAAATGGAAAAGAAAAGTAGATAGAAACACCTAATTTTCATCTGAGTAAGGGAAAAGAGAGACTTACCCTTGACAGGAGGCAAATCATGGACTGCATCTGGTTTCTGCCAACTGAGTCACCAACAAATGCCATGGATTTTCCCCTCACAAGCTCGAGAAACTGGAAGGGGTTGAACACAGGTAGTTCACATCCATTTGGCTTCCACTTCCACTTCAAGAACTCAGAGTCTGGTCTACCATACTTCATGCAGTTTTGGTGCTCATGAATAGCCCAGCATGTTTTGTTTGTGTAATATGGAGCCTTTGGGTTCGGAACCCATTCCCCAGTGAAAATGTCACACTTCTTGATGGAAGTTGAGGGCAAGCTTGCAGACTCATTCAGATCATCAAATACTGAGGATGGCTTCTTGGAGTCTTTGTTCTTCAGTGACGATGAAGAGTATCTGAACAAAGGGTATGACAGCGGTGTGATGGTGAATAGCAGTATGGCAAAAACTGCAAGTAAAGTCACTTTTGGGATCATTTGTTTTGGGGTGCTTTTACCAAAGAGAAGCTCTATAACTTGGAACTTCATCTTGGAAGAAGAAGAAGAAGGAGAAAGAGAAGAGAGGGGTAAGGAAAGAATACATACAAGGTATAGAAGAAGGAATGGAGAAAGTTTTGCTTATATAAAATATCTTGTGGGTGCAAGTTAACTCAGTTTTATATTTTTTTTAATATATATTTGCATTATGATTATACAAGAACTTTCCAAATTAGGTAGCTCCTAATTACACTTAATTAAATTTCCCTAATGTTAAATTGAACTTTTTCACACATGCATGAGATGTTTTTTAAGAAAAGTTTTTGGAATTTTGGTTGTCCCAGTGAGTCCATCACACCCCATGCGCAATGCGCAATGCGCAATGGTATATAATATTTGGAATTGTCTTTTCCATTGTCCTGATATAAAACCTTATTAATTACGTAAATACAGTTTATATATAGTAATTAAATTAAAAAAAAAAGATGTTTCTCTTTTAATAAAGCATATCTGCTTATTTCTTAAACAACATAATTAGACATCTTATTAATGTCTTTGACGTAGGTACGAAAGCAAATAATTAGGTGAGCAGGTAAATTATCATCTTTATAATATGTTCCAGTGTTGACCTACAGTGTTCAACTTTGCTTTGTTAATAAAATTCTGAGATCCATAAAAATGGGTATAGAAAACAAAAAAAAATGAAATAAATAAATAAATAAAAACTAATATATGTAATAAAAAAATAAAATAACATTTTAAGAATAGTAACATAAGATGGTTTTTATTAAGTATAAAAAGAACATTTTAAACATTATTCAATGATTAATTTACATTTACAAATTATATGGAGTTTAAGCTAAACTACATCGAGATCTATGATGATAATTCATCCATTCAAGGGTAAATTAGGCAATTTGGTTATTAATTTGTTCAAGACATTCAGAATCAAATTGCATTTGACAAAGTGAATATATTCAGGAATATAATCAAGCTCTCAGGTCAGAACTTTAGATCCAGATCTATATTTTTTATATAATGAACTCCAAATTCTCTTATGATTTTCTAGTGATCTTCTTTTTTACAAAGATTGAATGCATTTTGTATACGATATTAAATATATTTACTTTTGAATTTGACGTTTTTTTATAAAATAGAAGAAGGATTGGCTAATAGAAGTGTACGATTTTTTCTGTGGAAAGTGTTTGAAAAATCTTCTGCAATTTTATAGTATTTTTCTTTGGATTATGTTAGAAACTCGTGTGACTCATTAATTATTTCATTTCGATTCCGAATGCTATTAATGCAACTTATTTGTAGTTTCCAAGCAAAATAATTTACATGACAATGGTCAATAAGACCAGAAGGATCATCAACTAGTTAGTAAAAAGACTAATTTATGTTTATGTAAAAAAATAGAGTCATTTTTTTGAGATATGAGGATCAGAAAATATCTTCTCAGCCAATTTTTTTTTATTATTTACACAGAATCGAATTTATGACAATTTACCTAAAAAAGAAACTCATTTATCTTTTAAAAAATTGATTAAAATATATTAAAAATTATTAAAGTTATATATATCTATCAATTTATTTTGACTCATTCCTCATTAGTCTCTCCAATCACTTTCTCCTTTTTTTGTGTGAAATTAAGTGGGCACTAATAAATCGACAAGTGATTTGATATATAATTAATTAAACAAAAGCCTAATAAAACCCCATTGGATGAAGGCATAGCAATAATTGAGATTGTGGTAGTGAGGGTAATAAAGGAGAGAAATTTTAGGGTTAGACCAAAACAAAATTACATGAAGAGATTTGAATTGATAGATTGATTGTGATGCCTTCTTTTTATATCCTTTTACATTCGAACTCTTCAATATTCCATCCCATCACTCCTTTCCATCATATCTTACAATTATCATTCTAACTCACTCACAGATAGTAAAAAACAAATGAGAAATATGATATAGGTTATTCAATTTTATAACATTTTTATTATTTTTTTCCACAGTTTTAGTAATTTTTATCTTAGTTTTGGCTTTAATATCAAATTATTTTAATAGAAAAATAAGGTTGGTGAGCTTCAAATAATATATAGTGGCGAAAGAACTTTAATTGCAGTAATTAAATTTTTTAATGATCCTAATAAAAAGATAAAATGTAACTAAAAATGTTACTGAATCTAATTTCCATGTTGATTAAAAAAGAAAAAACATAAGTTTGAAATTGAAGCATAACACAAGTTTGATAATATCACGGTCTTTGAAGAACACATGCACAATTAATTATATTTAGTATTTGCAAAAATATATAAAAAAGATTGGAATTTGCTTTGTTTCCTCTACTCAACATCAAAGACACATTTCTTATGTTGTATTATATATATATATATATATATATATATATATATATATATATATATATATATTGGGCCATGTACATGTAGGATCATAAAATATTTGTTAAACCCACATATCGTGAATGGGCTGAAAAAAAAACAAATGGGCTTCTTTTATGAGGTCACAACCCATATGGATCACAAGTAAGCACTTCTCGTTCATCTTGGAATGAGTTTTTCAAATGTATTTTTTATATATCACAAAATTTATTTTCCTTTTGAAAACTTTGTTAGAAAATAAATAAAAGGTGTCTGATTTTCTCACAGAAATAAAAAATAAAACAAACCAGTCACATGAATCAATGGCGTCATTCTAATCTCCTCTGCAAATATTTTTATGAGATTGAGAACCATTTTGATTTATTATTGGAAAAATTGAATCCATAGTGTATGTTACACAATGAAAAAAAAGATCATATATTGATTAAAGAACGGTTTGATTTAGTTTTATTTTTTAACTTTTAAAAATAGTGTTAGATATTTTTTTTAAATTATTTTTAAAAATAAACTAGAATTTTTTTGTTTCATATTTTTTTTTAAATTATTTTAAAAGGAAAAGAATAACATAAATAATAAAAAGTCTTATTAAAAATTGAAAAATAATTTTAACAATTTTATGAAAGTAAAAATAAATTATTTAGTATATTTATTGATGGAAGATTAATAAAATAGAAAATTATAATAGAATACTAATTTTATTTTATTTTTGTTTCAAAACTAAAACATAAAAATAATTTTAACAAAATAGTTATAAAATATTTTTTTAATTTTTAAAAATTAAAAACTAAAAGCCAATTTTAAACAATTGAACACTTTAATTTTTTTAAACACTTTTTTTTGTTCAACTATTATTCATCATGTTAATTTGATTTTATCTTTTATTAATATAATTAAATTGTTTAACGTAATATATATATATATATATATATATATATATATATATACACTAGTATTATGTTGAAAAAATAGGATTACTTAAATATTATATTATATATTTAAAAAAATATTTTTATAGAGTAAAATAATAAAATAAAACTAAAAAAATGAGACAGAAAAAAGAACTAGTAACCTAAAAATAAAAAAAAATTTGCATACATAATTATTACTGTAATCTAATAATCTATATATTTAATTATACTTTTCATTAAACAGAATTTGTGATTGATATTTGGGATATATTAAGTATAAGAAATCTTCTTAAGAGATTGAGTGGCTGAAGGTGATTAACTTATCGTTGTCTTTTTTATTATTCAGAATAATTAACATATTAAATACTGAATTTAATACTTTAAGAAAGATGATGATGCTTAACTACATATCACACCCACTTTAATCTCTTCTTTCGAATTATTGCCCACACGTTATAAAATCAAGAGTTTAATTTATGACCTTTTCTTATCATCATGGTCTAATGAATAAAATAAAATAGTTAATGCTTTTTACATATATTTATAAAAATTGTGTCACAATGAGAATATATATATATAAATTAAATTATAAAAAAATAATGAATTTTTAAGAATTTTATCAAACTTAATCACAAGAGTTGGAATTTTATAGCCAACCAAACGGATATTTTTATTTACATATAATTTTAGAATTAAAATCACATATTTTAAGCATTTTGGAATTCTTTTTCTACACAAACCAAGACGTGCACACATTGAGCTTTTTACCACTTAATTTAACCTCTTGACAATTATTTAAAATACAATTTTCTTTGATAATTTAATCATAAAATAAAAATAAAAATAAAAATAAAACAAATAAGGATAGATTAAACATATATCCTTCTTTTTCAATTAAATTCTGTATTTATATCTTATATCTATCACTATTTAGGAATTTATTTGCGTAATTTAAATATTACAAATTTTGGTAAAAAAAAAAGACCAGTAATAAAAACTTTTTGTATGGTTCTGAATAATCAACACTTAAATTATTTTGCAGAAGTTGAATCCATATATTGTGGTTAGCCTTCCATGCTCTTGATGCTTACCATTCCACACCAATTCTCACATTCACAACACAACCAACCCCTTCGATTCATTCATTTCCTCTTCCTTACTTGTTTCCTTTCCTCTCTCTATCTCTCACCCTCAACACACAAACACATAATATTTATTCATCATATCACACACCCTTTTATTAATCTTTGTGCATTAGTGGAAGTCTTCTTTTACCACAGAGAACAAGGCCACAAGGTTTGCTTCTCACCCTCTTTTCTCTGTGCTTCTGCACTGCTCAGTGTTTTTACCTTTCACTGTTTTTGAGCAGAATTAATCAGCAAAGATGGTGATGATGGGTCTGGGAAGGTTGGTAGGGACTCTAAAGTCCAAAATAAGGTCTTTGAAACTGAAGAAACCTTATGATAAGATGGAGAAGAGTGAGAGCATGAGAGTGGAGATAAGAAGCAGAAAGGCCAGAAAGCTTATTGAAGAGACCCTCAAAATTGCTGATTCACCCAAGTCCAGAACCTTCGCCTTGTGATGCTATGCTACCCTTTGTATTATTGTTCACTGTATGTATTGGTAATGAAAACTCTTCAATAATTAAGCTTCTGCTCTTCAATGAGTACTCTAATTAGCCTTTCCATCAATCACATGCATCCACCACATTCACCAAGGTAGTACTAATCATGTTATGCATACAAGTCTAGAACTTTTTTCCTGTCTTAGATTGGTATGAAGCATGCAAAGACTTTGCAGAATTAGTATGAGTTTGAGGCACTTTGCTTAGATAAAAATGGAATTTTTAAAAGCACCAGCAAAATGGATTAATATGAGTTATGATTTTTTAAGTCATCTGCATATAGATAAAAAATGGAAGAGAGAAAAAAAGAAGGTAAAAACTTGGGAGAAAAATATCTATATTTATACTGTGCGTTGTAGATTTTCACTGAAGCTCCTTTCGTTTTCAAATTTATTGCTTATTAACATCAGGTCTGGTTTTAGGTGGACCATCCTATAGATGAGTGCAGGCCAATTATGTCACCTTCACTTTTTCCCATCTTGTTTTAAATGAAACGAAGAAATTTAACATTTTAGGAATAAATTTGAGAAAATATTTTGTATTGTGATCATAGTGATTGATATGTTTGATAAGTCTTCATATATGGTTCAACATTAAGCAAATATATTTTATGTATTTTTATATACTTGATGTAAAAATTGAAAGATAAACTCGCTCAATATGTGATTCAAACACAGTAAATTTACATACTGATTTTTTTATATAACAATTAACTTAAAAATCAAACATATCATAAATTTTGATTGAATTTATACTCTAAATTAATTGGCTGAAAATGGGTTTCTTAAAAGTATGGTGGGATTGAGTGTGTGTAGGGATGAGATTTTAACGATGGATGAATAATTGAATATTATATATATATATATATATATATATATATATATATATATATATATATATATATATATATATATATATATATATATATATATATATACTCGGCGGTTTTGTTAGTTAAGTGGAATTTTTTGTTTCAAGAGGTAAGATATTAAAAATAAATTTAGTGTACATGTTTAAATCATTGAATCCAGTTTATATTTTGAGAAACAATTAATAAATTTTAAAAAATCATATAGTTAATAAAAATAAGAGTTTAATATGCATGCAGAGTAAAAGTTTTTATTGGTATTTTTTTTTTTCAAAAGATTGTAAGGTATGCTTCTGAAATATAATCGATTTAACTTAAAGTTAATACGACAAAATCATTTCAAACAGATACATACGAATAAATAATAATTTTCTTCAAATCGATGCATAATATCCACTTGTATGAATGTGATGCACGATATTATGGAGTTAATAGGGTTTTTAATAAGTTTAATGGAAGAATCTTTGATGCAGCTAACGTCCAACTAATAGATAAGATAACCCATCAAACTCAACCACCAATTTCCGAAAGGAAAACTCAAAACTTTTATATATTCATTAACTCAAAACTATATGGTCTCAATAGTTATAGACATATAAAAAGGGTACCAAAGAAAATGAGAAATTTCCATTGTTGAATAATAATGTAAATGACTGTAATAAGTTAGATTTTTCAAACTAAAAAATGTGGTCATATTTAGTGTTTCTCAGTGTCTTTCATTGGTCACAGATTTCAGCAGAGAATTAAAAGAAGAAAGTATATTAAACTTGTAAGTAAAACTCTTATTGAAATGGTGCTGTTAGACAGTGAGTAGTGAAAAATGAAGTGGTGGTGTTAGTAGTTAGTGCAGTGGGTAGCTACCTAGAATAAAGTTGAACATTTCTGATGTGGAATTTGGCTGCACGTGAATCATGAGATGTTGGTATGACGATGGAGGACAAGGGATAGTAATTATATTGCTTATGATTTGGCAAATGCTTGCCCATGAAAGTGCACTCTACAAAGACACCTTCCAAAGGAAAATGACTAAGCATACTTATATTTCTTCCAAAGACTAAGTCCAAATTCATACCAACCACAATCTTTTTGCATTTTCTAGTACCACTCCACAAACCTTATTTTTTATCCACTCCAGTCTACCACATATCTTATCCACAACTCCAGAAAGGGTCAAGTCAGACTGTGTAGAACTTGTTAAGGTTTCTTGAGTTCTTTTCTGACTTTAGGACTTCTCGATGAGTGTGTTTTTTAGCCTGAACAATAATCATAGCCTTTCTTCTTAAAGTTCTTTCTCTCTTGTGCCATTGTAATGATGAACCCTGAAGCAACAAAAATTTAGAGCAAAACAATCAGCAAAGAGACAGGAAAACACACCAAATCAGGAACTAGCAGAAAACTAGCAAATACTGGATGAGGAGAGCCAAGGAAAGGAAATTCATTTTCATTGTGAATTTTCTCTTGGGATTGTGGGGGCCATGAGACCCAACCAACATGTTCTCTTGGTTGGAATGTGGATCATGATAGCACAGCTCATGAAAAAACATTGGATGTGATGTAACTTAAATGGATATGGTCACACTGCTCCAACCTCAATGCATTGAGATCACGTACTGCACAAAGCTATTAGCAATCAGACTCAAAACTATTAACAAAAATATACGACAAACAAGAGCACATACATCTAGTAGGAAGATTCAAACAATGAACATTCGGTTAGTCCTTGCATCTTTCCTAATGCACCTTAATTCTAAGACTGTAATATGAATAATGATGTTAAAAATATATATTCAACAAACTAAGTATTACATTTTACCAGTTTAGTGTAGCAGCATTGGTCCATGTTCTATAATTGTGCTGCATATATTTGCATGAATCAGATTCAGACACGTTGAGTTAAATTCTCAAAAAGATATTTGATAGATTTGATGATGACAAAACATCAACAACTCATTACTGAGAAGGTGTGCAGTCTGGATGTATATCCTGTGCCTGTTATATATAGGCATGTAGTCTATAAGAATAACAATCACAATTAATAGGAAGAAATCTTATCGTAATGCACAAATGAAATTCAGTTTAATTAACTCTTTCATTCATGTCACGATATACTTAATCTCATAATTGGAAGATTAATTAGGTACATCACGAGAGAATGATGATGACTCACTTGTGCATGCATCATCTCACGTTTGCAAATTACATTTTGTTGATTTCGCAACAACTTTCCTACACTAGGATTCTGTGACTTCACTTATGTCAGACAAGAGAGGAAAAAAATAATAATAAACAAATCCTATTAGAAATGCTGATTAGATATTCCATAAAAACGTAGTAGGCTATGATTTAGGTTCAAATAAATGCATCTGCAAAATCAGAATATATTTCATTACTTAAAAAATATATCCTTACAAGAATATTTTTTTTTTCTTTTAATTTTTTCGTTGTTCTTAGAAATCGTTGTAGACATTTTAAACTTCAAAAGTGGTAAAGATTTGTAATTTGTTTGAACGAGTATTTTCATAAGCTTCTTTTAAGAAAAAATTGAATTTAAATGAATTAATTTGTACAAATCCTTTCATATATTTCTCTAAATTTTATTTTTAATTTGTACATAAACTAATCTTAATATATATAAAAGTTATTTTAAAGCAAATGCCACAATCAGAAGTTGCCAACTCATGTATGCATAAATAACTAAATTAAAAACATATACGAGCACCTATACAACAGGTGTGTGAGTGCAATAGGCTTCATAAAACTAATGCTTAAAATGAATCATGCAAGTCAAACATATTATGGCTATTTAAAAATTGGTGCTAACTTTATTATGGCGTCGTCGGCATTTAAAAAGAAAAATAGAAATTAAGACAGGAATATAATGGTTAGCTCTAGTAGGAAACGGAATGGGTCTAACATGACTCTCTTGACCATGAAATAAATAACTCACCCCTGGCAAGTTCTTTGGACCAAAAATTATACCTACAATATCCAATCTTGTTCATGACAAGCTATTTATTTATTCACATACAAAATCCATGTTAAACATTCATCAGACCAGTTGTAGTGCAATTGTTTGCATTGCAATCGCAACAGAACATTGCATGTAATATTTGACACAGGTATCTCAAGCATCGTAAATTTCTTTAAGGCAATTAACTAAAATCTAAAAAGTATAATTTAAAAGGCAAAGGCCTTTAAAATTGACCAAAATAAAAAGGAATATGCATTTAACTAGATTGAAAGAAAAATGAAATTTGAAATAGGTCAATAGAAGGTTAAGGAAGAGAAAAGAAATTAATAAAATTAAGCCATCCCAAATAAAAAGTACTCTAATATATAGGCAAGTTAGATTGGTACTGTGTTACCAATCTCATGTAAGGCAATTATACGCTGTGATAATATATTCCCAACATAATGACGAACAATTCTTTACCCTCTCGTCCACTATGCACATTACAATAAGATAGGACAAAACCAGACGTTGATGAGGCATACAGAAGTTCCAACCATTCAGATTTGAATGACACATTTTGATTTGAGTGCCTTGAATGGCATCTCCCAAGACTCAAGGTCATCATCTCCTAGCAGGGTTTACACCTCGAGCAGCTTCATATCCACCTCCACTACGAGTTGGCGGTGTTGTGGATCCATAAGGCATATTGTTCATTGGTGGAGCATGTCCATGAGGACCAGGAACCCCTCTTGACTGTGCATCATAGCCAGCTGTTCTCGATGCATCGTAAGCAGGTCCTCTCTGCATATCATATCCCGAACCTCTCTGTGGATCATAGCTAGTTCTTTGAGCATCAAAAATTGGCCCCCTCTTGGAATCATAAGCAGATCCTCTAAATGCATCGTAACCAGTCAGCCTCTGTGTGTCGTAAGTAACACCCCTTTGTGCGTCATAAGTAGGCCCTGCAGATGCACCATAACCAGGTCCTCTGGAAGCATCATAACCAGTAACTGCAGGAGCTGGACCAGGTTGAGCTCCTGCAGAAGCAAGTGTAGTAGCACTGCCACCACCCGCACTGGCTGCAGGTAGGGGACCACGTCCCTGCAAAACAAAATTATTCGATTTCAAACAGAATCAACCTAAGAACATGACCCTTCTAATCAAAATCATTTGTTAACAACATATCTTCAATACTCAAGATAAGCAACGTATACACAACACAGACATTTTATACAGTACTGGAACCAGAGTTTTTTTTTGGTTTTAGCTACTCTGGTATCTATTATTATCCCCAATTGAGGGGACAAATGCAATGACCCTCCACCTTAAATATGGATACATACTGCTTGATTGTGAGCTATAATAGTTTTTATTTTAATAACTGGTTATTGAATAGAATTCGCTTTCAGGATTTTGAATATATATCAGATTGTGATCTTCAATTTGGAATTCTAGTTTTAAGGCACTAAGCAAACACATTGCCCGAGAACCCATTATTAGTGCCTAATCTAAATTCAAATTGAAATCCTTCACTGGTTACATTATATTTAGCAACTGTTTTTCGAGTAGCAGATGTTAGAATATAACAGCTCAACGCAAAGCATCTACAGTTACCACTATATCATTCCAATTTTCACAGCGTATAAGTAATATACTAAAACTTTCCCAATTGTTATCATGCAAAGCCCTAGCAGACATGATAATTAGTATGATAATACTATATATTTTGAATTTATTTATCATGGCAAAAAAAACTACTGCTTGTGTTAAATTGGTAACCATCAGAAAGGTGATTTCCAGAGATTAATGAGAAATAATATCATAGGGAAATCAGATAAAAGCTTTTGAATTCAGGTTTCTCCATAGTATAGGAGACAAAAATAAACTCGGGCTCGGCATACAGTCATCAATTACAATTTGCAAGCATTATTTGTATTAACTATATTTAAGAATACAGAGTTTATAAAGTTAATACAAACGAGCAGAAAATCCACAGATTAATTTTTATTAAAAGATTTGAAAATTAATATTAGACAATAAACTAAAATACTGCACTCCCACAAGAAACCCAAAACAATGTAACACAGGGAGGCGTCACACACCTGCATAACAGAATAACCATCTTCATAAGCATTTTGTCCCACAGGAAGACCAGAAGCCTCATTCTCATTAGTACCAGAGGTGCCACCATATGGCCCACCTGAATTTTATTACCAGTGATCAATCCACAAATCATGAAAAATTGAGGACCAAGGGCTCTTTTCTAACACAGAAAACAGGTATGAAAGGAGATACATACTACTTCTCCGATCCACATTAGCAGTGTTTGTAAGCTCTGCTCGAAGTTTTTCCACTTCCCTACTCATAGAAACATAGTTCTTTTCCATCACCTGAAGTGACTCAAGGTGATCATTGTATAGTTTTTTTTCATAGTCAAAAGTGGCCCTGCATGACCAGAACAGAATATTGTCAGGGGCACTAAACATGGCAATCTGACACTATGCCAACATGCTGCAAGGAGAGAGGGGGAATAGAAATCAATTGGGTTTGGTTCAGAGTTGTCTTCAGTGAATTATGGATAGAAATAGGCAGATTGAAAGTTCAGAGTAAATCTATGGTCACAATCAACTGGAAATGATAAATGGTACAGGGTCACATTAGTGATTGGGATGCCAAACTGAACGGAAAGGGAATGGAAGATTCACCATCAACCCAAACAGGAATCTATAGCTCCCAGGCCCGTTTGTAACATGCATGCCAACCACATGCTAACCACCCTAGCTGAGCCAAGCCTGTCTAAAAGGTAAAGTATAGGTAGGTGCCTCGGTATCTCTATCATTAATCTCCTGGCAAGTAGGTTGCTTGCAAATCCATGGATATTGCTGGTGTAGAGACTCCCAAGAGTTGCAATAAAAAAAAGGATAAATGAAACACTCGCAGTTCAAAGGGAATCCTTCAAAGTTCAATCACTTGCAGTTAAATAAGGAATGAAACAATCATTGCCTCGATTCATAATATGCAGATTCCAACTATGGAAGTCATGCGATCAGGTTCCATCGTCAAAAAATTAAGATTTTCAGTTGAACATCTCCAGGGTAAATTCAAGATAAAGAAATGAAAGAAATTAAAATTGACTTTTAATGAAATCGAAATTATGAGTTTTTAAAGAAAAGAAAATTTATTAGAGATTGAATTTACACTTAGGAAAACTTGGGGAGACCTTTAGTGACTTATTAAGTTAGATAAAATAGACTGCAAGATGGATGCTCGGTGCCCAATCCTCCACCGACATGGAAAAATGAAATGAAAACAGAAGGGAGATCAAAACCAAAAAATTAGGTATCAACCTAGGGCATGATTGTAATACACAACCAAGATTGATGGCTAATGAATGATGCCACATATCTAGGAAAAGGGTATTACACCCTACTAGAATAAATCGTAACACTATAAGAATTGAGTAGGTGTTTGTTTCACAGAATCACATTACATTCCCACGAATATTACAGCCAGGAATGTTAATCCTGGGTACATTTAAAAGGTGTTTGGTTGCACTTAAGTATTTCTAGGAATATTTTTTGAACTTATAAAATAATATAAATTTAAAATAACCAAAAGTGAAAGTCATAAGTATATTACTATTAACATCCCATATTCCCATGAGAATGTCACTTTCTCACCCCTTCATCATGGGAATGTAGGTTTCCTAAGATTAAAAAAAAAAACCCGAGAATCACTTTTGATAACCTACTAACAGGTATGGGAATAAATATTCTCCTATTCTTCTTCCCAGGAATAAAAGATGCTGTAAAATAAACACCCCTAAGTGTAACGAAGAACCCATTTCTAAAAGGTTAGATAATACAAAGGGTTTTCGTTAAACAATACATTTTATTATAATCCCAGCTAATGTGTAATCCACGGACATGAATCAAATCAGTTAGATTGGAAAGAACACACACCAATAACAAAAAAGCAGGCTCCAAATTAACAGCACACACTCAACGTTAATAAAAAAATATCTAGCCTCTTGCTTGAAAAAAGAAAGAGTACAATTTATGGACAATGGTGCTTATATTTTACACTTGAGGAGCTCATTGTAGTACAATTTAAGGACAAAGAAATCTAGAAGAGAAAACGATTGTGTCATGGGCGAGCATCTTAATCAAGGGGGATGGTGGAGATGAAGGATGACACGAGAGGAACACTACAAGATAGTCGTAGTGCAAGATTACTGTTAGAAAAATTATTGTATTAGGGAGATAACTTGTTCAGATAGGTTAACTTAACTGACTAGTATTACCTTATAAAACAACAGAAAGGAAAACAAGAACAACAATGAACAAACTCTCATTGGGGCACCTGAAGAAGCCAAAGGCAGAAGAGAAAGCAAAATCCATGACAATATTTATTTAATGATAACATTTGTAAGGGTAACAAAGCCTCATGAAAAACATAAGCACTTCGCCCCAGCCAAAAACACCAGTAGGCTGCAAAAGCAGACATCATAAGGTCTTTCTGTCCTTTTTTCTTTTTGATAGAACAACAAATTTTGTGAGGATAAGAATCCCTTTAAAATTGATAAGTTAAGGTTAAATGCAAAAAGGAAACTCTTTAAGTTAGTCAACATAATTACTCCAAAGTAAAAGGACAAACTAAACATTAGTAACAAAATATAAAAACCCCATTCCAAAAAAGAAAAGAAAAAATAGCAATAGCAATAGCCAATATATAGGAAAAAGGAGCATGTGTTAGCTTGCATACTAAACACACATTTTAGAATAGATGCTTTTGGAAGTCTACAAACCTCTGGCATATTACCAGAAATAATCCAATTTCTTATTATGTACCACAATCCAAGCGAAGACTGGAGCCTTGAAAAGTGAATTGATTCCTGACTGTTGTCCGAACAACAAATACCATCTATAGACGAATACATAATAAAAATTTCAGAAACTAAGTTAAAACGTTCCAAGGCTCCATCTATAGGCCTACTGTCTACAATGAATCTCCCAAGTAAGTATGTGGCCAGATGCAAATATAGACACGAAAATCTCTCTTGCTTTGAGATGGAAGCTTAAGAATAAGTAATAGTAATTGTGTTTGAAAGAATTTGATGGGGCCAAAGCTTCTAGCATAACACGAGGATATTGCAAGTGCGTGGCCTTTCACTTTTAAGGAAAGCCCCTCATGAGTTTTTAAAAACCCTTAGACTTCAAAGAAACATTACTGTCCTAGTAAACGGAAAAACAAGAATTTATGCACTACAAAACCTGTCAGGTTCAATAGTCCTATCATTATTACATATCTTCCAAATAATTTAACCGATACTCACCTTCTCCAATAATCCAATTTCTCCATTCTCCAGTCTTAAAAACAAAAAAACTCCTCACAATATTTTTCCACTATATAAAGTACACACAAGTAAAAGTTTAACTACTCTATTCGTTTCTTTTCACTAATCCAAAGATAAGCTGTCAGGTTGTATCCCTAGTCAGATGATGAGGGATTTTAAAAAATAGACAACTACCTCTAAACATGCCAGTTGCCACATCTCCACAATATCCCACCCTTTGCCGCCACTAACAAAACCTCTAAACCAAAGAAACAAAAACCACCCTATAAATTTAACTGGCATAGATATATCCCTTAGAGAGACAGGTAGCAATCCAAATCACCCAGTCCACTACACAAGAAGCAATGCTTTTAGAGAAAACAACACTTCAACACTGTTTTCATGAACGTAGTACTTTATACATCATCATCCCTAAGACGAACCCATTACACACTACAACATTACAATGCATCTAACACTAAAGAAGAGGCAGAAGAAGGATACCTGCAATGCTGATACTCCTGTCTGAGGCATTCAAGCTCAGAGATAAGCGCAGGTATCTGAACAACATCAGCATGGGCCCTCTGCAGCTCTTGAGTCAAGTGCTGTGCTTTTGAAACAAGTTCATCCCTCGACAAAACAAGGTTCTGCGCCTCGCCACGCGCCTGCTGCAGCTCCAGCTTCACGCCCTCTATGCCCTGCGCCTCGCTCTCCATCTTCGCGATCTTCTCCAGCTGCGCGCGCACCTGCTGCTCCCGCTCCCCCTTCAGTGCCGCCACGTGCGCGTGCAGCATCTGCAGCTCGTGCTGCGCCGCCGCCAGCTCCTGCCGTAGCGCGCTGTGCGTCGCGGCGAGGCGCTGGTTCTCCGTCGCTAGACGCTGCATCTCCGCGTGCTGCGACGCTAGCTTCTGCTCCATCACCTGCGGCGGCGGGAGTAGATCGAACGGCGCCGCGAGCGGGTGTGGCATCGCGGCGGGACCCGGGGGAATCGACCGCCGCAGGTGCGGTGGAGGCGGCATGCGGCCTTTGCTTCCCATTGCTGAAGATGATCGAAATTAGGGTACGGAGAAAATCGAATTTGAAGAACAAGGAAATTGAGTAAGAAAAGAGGAAGGCGAATAATGAAGAGGTACAGTGAGATTTGGGGGAGAGATAGAATGTGAATCGATAAGGGTTTCGAAATGAAGGAACTTCAAAAACCCTAACCCAAAGGTGAAGAAAGGATTAAGTAGGTTCCAAAATTTTCTGTTGTATGGTATGGATATCGGTCCAATTTTTCTGTATCAGAATCTTCGTTTTCTTTCTCAAGGAGCTTTAAACCAAATTTGATTGAAAGAGTGGCTTAACCGTTTTTATTTTTATATATATATATATATATATATATATATATATATATATAAGTAGGAACTTATCACATTAAATTTTAGATTTTAATCTCTAAATTCTAAGATGAAATTTATTTTAATTTGTAATGTTTTTAAAAGAAAATTTTAATTAAAGAATATAATTTAAGTTGCTAAATATGAAATTTAAGGTACTACAATTATTTGTTAAATATATTTTCCATCTTTCGAATTTAATATTTAAAAAGTAAATTATATATTTTCTTAAATTTAGTAGACTGAAATTGAAATCCGAGTCAGTGACTAATAAATTAAATATTTTGACAATGTGAAACCGTTTAAAAAAATTTCTAACAGTCCTGAAATTACTATAATATTTTTTACATTTTCACAGATTTTGTGAGTGTTAAATGGTGTAGATTTAACAAAGTTTCTTGGTAATTATCGACAAGAACTTAAACATAAAAAAATTGTTTATACCGAGACTAACAAAATTTCAAAATAAAAAATCTAAAATTAAGAGACTGATCAAGTATAAAGTGGCCAAATAAGTATTTAAACTAATATCTTTTATTAATTTGAGTAAAAACAACCTGTTAGAGGTTAGCGTATTTGGATTTAAGTTACCACTCGCATGCTTTTTCTTTGAAAATGTGTGCGAGCTAAATTTACAACACCCCAAATTTTTTCCATTTTTAAAAATGAAGGGAAAGAAGAAACTAACAAATTTGCTGAGATGAAGTTGGGCGTCTTGGGACAAAAAGGTCGTTCAAAATGGACAGTCGAGGGCAACAGACTGAAGCTGTAATTTATTAACAAATGAATGGATTGACTAACTAATGATACATGTAGATTTCTTTAACACAACAATCCGCACACGTTAAATAGGAGCTTCTTGGCACCTTTGTTACATCATGTCTTCTTTTCAGTATGTGAATCTCCTAAAAAACTCTGGTCACTTGGAGAGATCCGTCTTTTGGATGGGCGTGATGGATGCATGAATAAATACTTCTCAAGTAGTTACACTGCTTCAACGAACAATTTTGCCGAAAGCACAAGCAGAGCCAAATCCTTGTACTCAAGGATTCAAAATGCGGATAATTTAACAACTTAGCACTTGGCACTTTATACGTGTAGCTACAAGTTGTCTTCCATCTCATCTGGTACATGCAATTTCTCGATGGCAGCCTGTTAAAGATGAAGTTTCAGGTTGCAAAATAAAATCTGACAAGTTTACGAAAAATACAGAATAACTGAATTTTCACTGACCCAATCAGAAAGCATAAAGATAAGTTAATGCAAATGTAGAAGTTTTTGACCAGTTTAGAGCAAAACGATTCACCTTGATAGAAGCAGCATCTGTTGCAGATGGTTTCAAGTCCAACGAAATACCGTAATGGAACATCGCTCTCTCGTGCATGTTACGCCTTTTATAGATCCTGCCCATCAAAGCATAGACACTACTTTCACGGGGGGCATACTCTTTAAGCTCCTCTAGGACTTCCAGTGCCTCCTCAAACTTTTCCAAGCTCACGAGTATATTGGCCTTCTGATACATTGGAAGGGGATTCTTTTTATCCGCTAAAATAGCCTTCTCCATTACCATCAGTGCTTCCTCGCTTCTCTGTCAAGCATACAAGCGTCACATAATTTCAGTGTTCTCTACATATTCCAAAATACAAGCCAAAGACAAATGGAGTTCTTATTTTTGTATGTAATAACTACAATCAGTAGGATGGTAAGAGACTTACCTTCAAAGCATGTAAAGCGGTGCCAAGGTATGACATTATTACGGATGAACGTTGATTGATTTGGAAAGCCATTCGAAAATGATGTTCAGAGAACTCAAATTTTTCTTGGCGTAGATATACCATTCCGAGTCCATACCAAGCATTATAATGCCTTGCATCAACCCTGAGCGCACTCTGGTAGCATTTGATTCCATTCTCAAAATCTTCTAGTGCAACATACCTGTAAGTAGCGAACAATTAGAAGACCAGAAAGAGTTGCAGAAGGTATTATTCACACTTGTATATACTATATAAAGATAAGAACTGCCCATACTCGTGTCCACAAAGGGTGTGTGCATATGAAAATCTGGGATTCAGTTGAACAGCTCGCCGAAAATTCTTTAGTGCAGTTTCATGATCCTTTTGCAGGCTGTAGCAATTACCCATTGCACACCTACCAAAGCATTCGACCACAATGATAAAACCAGATAAAATGATAATAATCAGAATAGAACAGCCAAATAAAGCAGAAACAGCTACAGACCCATGGTTCTCATATAGCAAGTAATGTTATAACAATAAGAATACTTTATGAAAAGGTTTTGAAAAAGCATAGATCAGGTAAGGCAAAATAGATATACACAAATGGGCTTGATATGGAAGACCTTGTATATCAAACGGAGGTAGGTAAGAATACAGATGCTAAAGTTATCATATGTATGTCTTGAATGTGGCATCAGCGGACAACAAATGCAATTGCAAACATACAGCACAGTTTTGGCTTACAGCACATGCACATATGCCTGCACAAAGCCATGCAGTTTGAAGCATTCTGGTAAAGTAAATATGAATGATAGCAAGTAGATATGACTTAAGGAAATAATTTAAAAAAGAAAACATGAAAACTGGTACATTGAATAATCAGCAAGAAGTCCATATAAGGCCTACCAAGACTGAGGAGCTAAACGATCAGTTGATATCAGTTCCTGAGCCAAATAACTCAACTTCATATCCTCCTTTAGGTGCTGCACCAGAGATAACTTAGTCTCTTGGTCAAGCATTAAGCATCAAGATTAGACATGAAATAGAAGCTGGAATCTAATGAAAGACAATAGAATAAAATAACTCTAGAAGGCTATGCCACACATTAATTTCTATGGTGCTTTTGTACTTCCCAGATGAGTGCCATAAAACAAGGAATTTGTTTATATAAATGGCCCATAATATCAGAGAAGTCTCAGCCTAAAAATTCTCGGGAGTAATTTTACTGTAGGCGGACATTAATTATAATACTTTCTTCTAAATGGTGCACCAGACTAGTAAGCAAAATTAGTTTTCTCTTTGGATTAATCCTCAGCTCCCTAGCATCGTTAAAAGCAGCGTGATTTTTCTACCAAGATGCTTTGTTAATTAAACCAACCACAAATCCAAGTATCAAAGGCAGGAGAGGAAAACAAATCACATGCTTTATTCATACCACAAACTTAAAATGTGAAGAAAAGACCGCATTGCATAATTGTTGTACCTTGGTATATTTTAGATATGTTTAATGATCTATTTAGAGTGATTTCCATATCTATCTACTTCGTTATTTAAGGATTAGGACTATTAGTATGAATAGGGGTTAGTATTTTGCGTTTTGCAACACAGTCACCATTATTAAAAGTTTGTCCTAGCTTTTCATTCTTCTCCCAAATCCCTCCAGGTACATCAATTCAAAGAACTTATATTATTATTATTATTATTATTATACAATATATGATACATTGCAGAAACTAATGGAATAATCTAAACTCACATAAAGAACTGTTGAATATACATCCATTCCTTCCAAACAATAAGGCATAATCTGACGGGCAAGGCCAAAGGTATGATCAGCTTCTAAGTAATCAACCAATTCAAAGTACACTTTTCCAACCTGCTTAAAACATCCAAGCAACACATGACAAATCCTTAGTAATATGCACCAGTAAGAATCTCTAGATCAAAAACCAGGCTTAATGTTTCTGAAATAGGTTGTTTTGTTTGCAGGAATCGCAGCTTTCAAAGCACCCGAACAGAAAATTATGTATGCCGTTGAGTTGTCTCAAACTGATGTTTGATTATTTTCAACGTAAGTAAACACACTCTTGGTGTTTGTGCATTGTATTTATCAATAAATCCAATCTCATTATATATCAGTTTTCATATTCTCTTTTACTCCTTTTCCAACTAGACCCCAAAGTTTCAACATATAATTTTACATTCTTGAAAATATCAAATAGTTCAAGTGCGTCATAAAAAAATGCCAGTAAAGAAATTGATTGAAACGAAAATTTATAAGATGCCAACTACAAGAGCACAATTGAAAGGAAGACAAAGAAAATATAATTTCAGCCAAAATTTTATTTAAAACCTAATTTCAGGTATATTCTACAAGATGTCAGAAAGATCACAACCTTAATGACTAAGGATGAGAACATTAGGAATCTAGAAATTAAAATGCATCAAGTGGAAAACGGAAGAAAGCAACTCCATCAAGGAAAAACCTTTCTTTTCTAGGTACAGCCAACAAAACTTTGGAATACACAATCTGAATGTAGTATAATGCTACATCAATACACAACCTATGAAAGGCCGGAAATTGCTAGCTGAGCAACCAAAATTACCTGGGAAAGAACCCATCCTGTATTGTAATGCTTATGTGGAAGTTTCATATAGGTATCCAGTGCATCCTGTTTCACAAATAAACAAATATTAGAAAACTAGTCCGTCCTATAATTATTCCTTTCTTCGTATACCTAATAAAAAATCAATGAATAGATAAATACAAATTTATATATTTTATCCACAAATGATATTTAATACCTGACAACTGTACAGATAGGTAAGTCTACAGCCTTCGCCAAAAATTCTTAGAAGGGTCAGTATTTCTGAAGCACCAGAGATGACTTTTGAACCACTCACTGTTTGTCCACCAATTGGAAAATTTGCTGTTTCTTGTTCATAAGATTTAGCATCCATGGTAGGAGTAGAACTAGAAGTTGTTGATGTAACATTTAAACGAGAATCATCTACAACATCATTACGAATCCCTGAGGATAAAAAAGAGGACACACTAGTATTAGCAGTTCAAAAATATTTTATATTAGAAACTTGAAATTAATATTATTATTTTAGAACTTGGGAATCATATGTTATGAGCACAAGTATAACTAGAACAAAATCAGTAGTTGTAGAATAACTGAATGTTAGGATCAATATCAATTGTTTAATTATCCGCACTCTAAACTATTCAAATTTGGTAATTATTAATTATTTTATAGTGTACCGGTATCTCTAATATTTGGTGTAGCCAGTGAGTGTCAAACTACAGCATTTTTTGGGGTTAGCCACTCTCAACTGCTGCCTAGGATTGCCACTCTTTACTGCTACCAAGGATTGCTAACTATGCTTCTCATAATATTTTGAAAAGGCAATAACCTAGACGAAAATTACATAAACAAACACAAAATCATTAGCCTGGTTGCATTTCTTGACAAGAAAATAACTACCACAACTTCAAAAAATTGTCTTACCAAGAATAAAACCACAAAAGACACAGTACAATATGATAAAAAAATAGTTATATGCTATACAGAGATTCATCACCTTCATCAGCATTTTCATTGGCCCATGACTGCCCTTTACGAACCGTCATGGAACGAAACGCCATGGTGCTAAGCTTTGACCCTCCAAGATACTTAGAAGAGTTACTAGTTCCATTTCCAGATACAACATTTGCATTTGCATTTAAACTTGCATCACTGGATAGTCTTGAACTACGTCGAGGACCAGAATCAGAGAACAATCTTCCAGAAATCTGAAACAATTAAAAAAACAAAAATAAAGTACTAGGATTAGAACAAAATGAATAAAAAAAAGAATAAAATGCAATCTATAAACTACAGCATCCAACTGAGAGTCTGTTTTCTAGCAAACATATAAAAAAAAATTTAACATCAACAAAATTAATTGTCGATTAATTCGCAGATCATGTCAAATATATTTAGAAGTCTTAGATGTCCAGATAATTTAAGCAACCAAATGACATCCATGCTTAGTTTTTAATATGTCAAATCAAAGGTCGGGAGAGTTTTGGCCAAGATCTCTTAGCATGTTCTCATTCGTGTGATGCACAGGAATCAGACAACAGAAATCTTTATAGCAATAAGGTCCCCAACCTTACGTAATTTTCCTTCATCCACAAACTTTCTCCGAGGGGCTTGAATGGTAGAGTTCACAGTTGACTTAGGAGAACTGTCAGTGTTAAGTGAGCTCAGATTTTGGCCATTGGGCTGCACATTTCTACACAAAGGGGGTGGAACAACACCTGACAACTACAGAAGAAGTGAACAAGAAATATCAAATGTTGTAAAGAAAACTGGGCATAAAACATATTCAATAAACCAAGCAACATCCTTCCATATTTATGGAATAACAGGGCACTTATTTTGCCAATGTTTCTGATTCTGAACTTATTAATTAACAATTTTCAAAAATCAAAATTACAGAAATTATGATTCAATAAATTGTGTAGTTTAGCCAAAATATTTAATAAAAATTAATACGTACACATGATATGAAATTACATGAAATTTACCTGTGTTGCCATTGGAGATGGGGTATTATAAAATGATATGTTAGACAGACCACTATTAATTGGTTGAGAAGTTCCTCCTAAAATAGATGCTCCATGATGATTTCCAGGAATATCCTTCAGGCCCTGCATAAGTTTCAGTTGCCTAGGACTTGTTTCTTCTGAGACAGTGTGTCTGGTGTCAAATACATTACAATCCTCAGCTGATGACTGCAACTTAGAAGTGATTGAGCAGTGTAGGTATTGTTTTTGTATACAAAGAGCAGCTGATTCACCAAAAACTACAGTTGCATCTTCAGCAGCACCTAAATATTCAATGACATTAAGGTCAAGAAAAGACTAGAAGTCCACAACTTAGATATATTTTTAAAAAATGAATATAAACAACCATTCGATGACATTAGCTGGAGTTTTGCTTTCAATTAGATAAAATCAACCTTGAAAATTATCCCATTGTAGTATTTTACATCATCACATAGAAGCCGTGTAGCTTAGAAAGTTATAGCTTTTCCTGAAAGAATCCAGAGTGATTGAAAATTTGGTAGAACCATAAACATTAGTTAATTTGAAAAACAACCTTTTAGGTGAAGTTGTAAAGCCACATTCATCACTAAAAAGGTTAAACAAAAACCAGAGAGATCAATTAAATTTCAAAGTCAAGAAAAATCAATCTATCTGGAAGATTATAGGAGCCAGCAACTTGCAAAGCAAACACTTTCAGACCTGGGAAAAGAAAGCTAAAAGTAAACTTAATTTTTAGCGATAAAAAACACATGTAAATGCATTTGATGAGAAAAATGAACATGGAAAAATAATTCATATGCAAATTTAAAATATAATTCACAATTATTTAAATATCGACATTCTAATAATAATATTTAACAAAAATATTTATTATTAATTTTATGTGTAAAACTAGAGACAGGATCCACCACCGTAAGGAAATTAAGCAAACATCTGCTCATTCTATTTTCCTTATTCATTTTTCTTTATGAATCTTTATTTTATTCCTTTTTTTTTTCAATATACGTAAAAGGGTTCTGAGGGAGGGGGACAAGGCCCACAATTACCCCTGAATCCAGCAGTATACATACATACAAATATATAAAAAAGATTCACTGACTTCAAGGGTAAGAGTTAGAAACTTGTTTCTTATCCTCACCATTCATTTTCTTGTAATCTAATGATCAAGATGAGTTATTATTTTAGGCCATTAGATTATCAAAAAATAAATGACTAGGATAAAGAGTAAATTTCTAACTCTTCCTCTTGAAATAAATGGATCCCTTCACACACACACACACACACACACACACAGATAACATGGAAATACTTCAGAAAGTAATCACAAACAGTTCTGACATCAGAAACATCAATAACTTAGAAAATGCATAAAATTGGCAGATCTCAAGAGTCAAAACAGAGCATTGCACTAAACAAAGAACATAAATAAAATTTTAAATGTTTATGTTGAAAAATCTCAAGAGTCAAAAGCAAAGAGAAAATAATCAATTTGCAGAACATTAAGATTCTAAGGCCACTTTTCTAGGTTTTCAGTTCATCACACCAACAGAATGCTTAAATGATAAGTGATTATATTATTCTGACATCATAACACTGTCTATTTAAAGTAGGGTGGCAAGCTTGCCTAGTGAGCAAGTTGAATATCATAATACAGACCTAATACGCACAACTCCTCATATGCAGCCCACATTAGAGGATCCATTGATAGTGCCTGCTTAAAATGATGTATAGCACTTTTCCTTCTGTCAGTGTATCTGAAAAAAGGATACCAACCAAAGAGAATTTAGAAGGGTGGGTTTATCAAATGTGGCATGCTTGCATGACATACACATATATGTAAACTCGCAAACACAACTATATGGAACTGACTCCTGTTACAGCATCTAATGTCTTTACATAAATTGATCTTGTAGCTTTTGCACATGCCACGAAGAGGCAAGAATGTGAATATAAACTTCAATTAAGTCTGCTTTAATGTTAAATATGTATGCATACAATCTGCTTTTAACCAGGATCAGACAATTCCGAATTAAATATTATAAAAAGCAAGTTTCAGAAAAACTAATAAAATGGTAAGTATGACTGGTTAGCAACCTGTAAATCAGCCCTAACAGATGATGACCAGCTGCCCCGTTTGGAACCTACAAAGAAAGCAACAAAACATAAGAGTCGTTCTACTTCTCCTAGCAAATGCATTATTGACAAATTACAATAATAAACAACTTAAAGCTAAGCAGCATGCTATAATTAAGTCATACAAGAACAATGAATTCAACAACAGTAAATTTGATAAGGAATACATACAAGAGATAAAAACATTAGCAGTTATTTGAGACAAAAACGCTAAGACCTCCTAGACACCATTAGAAAAGCTTGGAGAATCATTCTTAATCTTAAATATATTATAAATTATGCTTTGTACCTCCACACTGGGCTCATTAGCAGGACATAATGCTGCTTCAGCTTCACTAAGAAGATCCATTTGAAAGCATGATATTGCAAACAAGTACCGGGATTGAGCGATTTGCGCTCCTTCAAGCATTAAAAACATAATGAATAACAAGAGGTACATAATGAGAATCACAGCTATGAGATAATAGCAAAAAAAGGAAAGAAAGCATTATCTATTAAGAAGAGCAGGACAAAGATGAGGAATGATTATATTTAAACCTAAGAGGACTATGGATGTGATTCCAAAACTGATTGGTGCATATATATTGAAAGAAACATACCCTTTAATATGTGATATGCAGAATAAGGTTGATTATTCTGCAAGTAACAACCAGCCAACAATTGGAGATTTTTCTGTACAGTAACCAAGTAAAATAGTTATCAAACAAAACTATGAAGAGAGTAAAGATATCCTTCACCAAGCAACTTTGAATATATAACTAAAGATAGGACCACCAATCACCAACACTTGAGCATGTCCGATGTATCTTAGGCACAAAAATATGAATACACATCAATTCAAAGTGAACAAAGTCTAAACATCACATTGGCACGTGTATAGTTATAAATATAATATACTAATATAATATAACACATTACAAGTCAAGTCCAAACTTTTTATTCATTTCTGCTTCAAACTTGTTGTAAGGTAAGCAATTCAAGGAAAAGGTCTCCATTCGTCAGGGCAGCACAGAATATCTCCTAACCCTTAATCCTTTCCTAAATCAGCTACACGTAGTAAACAGTCCTCGCGTGAAAAGAAACCTCTAACTGTTACCACACCGAACACACAACTTCAAACCTTGGAAGAGAGAAAAACATAAGTATAAATTCAACACACAAAAGTATAACGAAAAGCCAAATAGACCAGAAGCTTAGGATTGCCATCACGAACTCAATTTAATCGTACTAGTGCACCATGAACAAGAAGGAGGGAAAATATGTGCAGTCCACACAACCCGTGAAGCTAAAAGAGGAAGTTGAATCCAAATCCAAATTCCTCCAAAAATAACTAAAATTCAACTACCACTAAATAAATTAAGAAATGGACTTGAATCAAATAAATAGCTAGGTGTGAAGCCAAGAGTCAAGGATCTCGGAGCTTACAACGGTGAAGTGTACAGAGCTTATAATGGAGGGAGAGAATCTTCCATTTCCATTTTCTCAAAGTTTGTGAGAAAAATTGAAGGAAATTGAAGAGGGGAAAGGTACCTCTGTGGGGAACTCAGCGCAGAGACGATGGCAGAGGAAGATGGCGTTGGTGTGCATAAAATGCCGGAGACTCCTCTGCACGCAATCTACTAGTATCGCTTCCATGGCTTCCTAATTGCGAATCAGAGAGAAAATGGAAGAAAATGAGGGGAAAAGAGAGGGTTTCGGTTCGGTTCAAAATGAAACGAAATGAAAATACGAAATAGGCGACCCACGTGATTGGTGTCGGATTTCAAAATTGGTCACGTGACCTTGTTGGTCATACTGTTGTCTAGAACATCAAATGTTCCGTTGTAAAGAAAATATAGGAAAATAAAATGCTATTTTTAAATTGGAAAATAAAATGTTGAATACCTAGAATATCATGTGTTTTAACGTTAAGTTGATGGCTATGATGCTAATAATAATAACAATGGATGCTGCTTTATTTGTAAAATTAATTAACAATGGACGCTGCTTTATGAGTAATTAATTAATTATTAGTGGATTCCTTTCAATTTGATTAGTGATGAACACATTAAAAATAATTATTTCTCTTCATTTTTTATTTTCTTTCAAATCAAATACTCATATTTTTTTCTATTTTTTTTACTCTTCAACATCATTCCTCAGTTCTAAATTTAGAGTTGCTTAAAAAATAAATTTGGTCACATTAAAAAAAAATAACGGATATTTAATGCTGGTAAAATTTTGATAAGATGAAATAAAAATATTCCTTAAATCTGGATCAGGCCTTTGAAGTATTTAATAAGCTCAAAATCTAAGTTTTCAAAATCAATCAGTAAACAGACGTGTTTACACTAGTACAATTTAATAAAATAATATTTTTATAATATAATAAATTTATTAATAATAATATTTTTTATAAAAAATAAAAATAAAAAACATTATTATTATTATTATAAATAAAATATATTAAATAAATTAAATAAATAAATATTAAAATAAAATAAAAATAAAAAAAATTATTATTTAAAATTGGTATAACTAATATCATATAAAAAATTAAAATATATTATATCTTTTATAAAAAATTATATTAAAATAATTTTATCATAAGTAAAAATCAGTTCGATCCAAAAATTCAATCAATTTATTTTTATCTTTTGGGTTAGATCCTAATTTAATTAAAATCTAATTATTTAAAAATAATATATTAATTTCTAAAATAGAAAATCTACTAATCTACTGCATCACTCATATGCACAAAAGATTTTGTGATAATAATAATAATAAATAGTATTTAACAGTAAAATTTAATACATTTAAATATAAATAAATATATATTTTAATAGATATAATTATATGTTCAAAGAGTGCACTGGTATAAATTAGGCTTCTTATAAAAGAAAAAAAATAATTTATTAAAAGTAATAAACTAGGTTTCACATTATTAACCATTCATAAAATTAATAAATCATTTATATTAACCAAAACTACAACAATCTAATTAATTTAATATGTTGATGAATGTTTAAATTAGAAATATATTTAATTTGCTGTAATTTATCCTATTGAAGTGGATAAATTTAATAATAATTTTTTTTACGAGATTATATCTTTTATTATTTTATTTATATACTTGTTTTGATATTAATTTTTTTATTGGCTATATTTTGAAATTTAGATTGTGAAAGTTTGATATTTTATATATTAGTATTTAATTACAATAAAGACATTTTTTAAATTTGATTTATCAATGTTATATATATATATATATATATATATATATATATATATATATATATATTTAAATAAAGCTAAGGTCAAATCAATGAACCAAATACACAATTGTGATCCTTGCAGAGGTTGTAAGTTATCACAATTGTTTATCGATTTTTTATTTTTTTTAATATTTAACTATATTTTTAGTATAAATTGTGTGTCACTAAAGAATGAAGAATTGTTGAAGAATAATGTTTTAATAAATATTTAGGTAGTTGTGTGTGAGTAGTTATTGTTAAAAAATTAATTATGTTTAAAAACAAAACGTAAAAAGATAAATAAACTAATCAATTATATTAAAATTGAAACAACTAAGTTTGAAATAATGAATTATATTAGTATTCAATTGATTATATGACTCAAATTCATATGCTAATAATCGATTATATTGTCACTTAATTAATTATGTGACTACATCTTATACTTTGACACCATATGTTAATAATCAATTATGTTAGTATATGTTGCCGCCATCAAAAGAGGCGGTCAGAGCGACGCGATAGTTTCGTTCGACTCGTGTTTTTTTTAAGAAATGGTTCAACGTCTTTAGATTGTCCAATAACCGAGCTGGACTTAAAGGCGATGTTTTCGAAAGGTTCGAGGAGTCGCCACCAATGTTTTTACCGAAAATATTGGAAAAGGAAAAAAAGAAGGCATTAGTTTAGAAAAACCAACTTTGGCCATTACAACTAGAGTTAGGTAAAGGAGTTAGTTACGTGTAGGGAAGTGTTGCCGCCGTCAAAAGAAGCGGTCGGAGCGACGCGATGGTTTTGTTCGACTCGCATTTTTTTTAAAGTGTGGTACAAAGCCTTTAGGTTGTCCGATATGTTAAGAAACCAATTCACCCCCCCCCCTCTTGGTTTTTGTCCGGAAACGCAAACATTCCGTTGCGCGATTCTAACAAGTAGTATCAGAGCTTGCTTTGATAGTCATTCTGTTGGACTGTGTGACTACTTAGCTTACAAAGAACCTGAAACCAGGCTAGCTAAAAGGCATACTGTCCAGGATAAGGGTGTTTATTGTGAAAAGATTTTTTATTTTACTTTTCTATTGTATATTTATGCTATGCAACAATCAAATGCAACAAACAAATGCACACACAATTCACTCATCCGCGAACAAGTAGGGTAACGTTTTTAATCAAGAGGAAGGGGTAACTTGCAGAAGAGTGCATATTCAGGGTAGTTCTAAATTTCCTCACCAAGGCCAGGCCCCCAAGGTGCCCCCATTATAGGGTCCCCACTCTCCCAACCTTCAAACCATGCATGACACTAAGGCCTTAGTCAGTCTTTGGGCCAAGAAAGAAAGGTTATCACCTTGAGTGGTGGTTTCCGACCATATCGGTGGGCTCATGGCCCTTACTACGGCAAATCGTACAATGGTCACCCACTCCCTATGGATATCCCACTTGCCCCCGGGTATAGGGGGAACTGTTGTGTGCAAGGGTTTGTGTATAGTTTGTATTTCAAACAATTGCATAAAATAACAAACAACAGTTATTAAAGTCAAGCAATAAAACATGTTATAAAACAAGGAAGGGTAAAGACACAATTTTAAGTTTTTATTTCTTAAAACTAGTCCATCACTAAATAGGATCAACTCTCTAGCTTTCCCAGTGGAGTCGCCATCTATTGCCACCGTAAAAAAAGGCGGTCTGAGCGACGCGATGGTTTCGTTCGACTCGCGTTTTTTTTAAAAGTGTGGTACAACGCCTTTAGGTTGTCCGATAACCGGACTGGACCTAAAGGTGAGGTTTTCGAAGGGTTCGAGGAGTCGCCACCAATGTTTTTACCAGAAACATTGGAAAAGGAAGAAAAAAAGAAGGCATTGGTTTAGAAAAACCAATTTTGGCCATTACAACCAGTGTCGATAAGGGAGTTAGTTACGTGTAGGGAAGATATTAGCTTCCCTACGATGCCCCTTTCGGGTTCCCTATGATAGACTGTTTATATAAAAAAATAACAACTATAAATTGCGTTTTTACCCTTATTTATTTATTGCAAAAATTAAAATATTTACTACATGGGCCTAAATGATTAATGCACAACAATACTATCTAAAAAAGCAGTAAAATAGGGAATAGAGTATATAGGAACCTTCGAAGCAAGCTTTTATAGTGAATTCTTTGAAATAGGGTGCTTTTTGGCAATCCCCCGTTCTACAATGTTGATCGCTCTTCCTTGCAACACTACAAAACGCTTTCAAAGAATACTAAGAAACTTTGGAAATGCTTCAAAGGGGTCCTAGGAGAATAATTTGAAAGAAGTATAAAAAGGAAAAGTTGTAGAATTGTGTGTAAAGAGTGAGGAAGTCCCCCCTTTTATAGGAATTCACACTTGTCAGGTCGGGACCGTCGTCTTGCCTGATAAGGTCGGGACCGCCATCTCGCCAAATGGGACGACGATCTCGCCTTCAGCAAGTGGCGAGACGACGGTCTCACCATTGGCCATTGGCGAGACGGCGGTCTCGCCAAACGAGATAGCGATCTCAACCCTTTAGGTGGAATTTCTTATTTTTTGCGTACAAAAATCCTTCCTATTATAATATGAGGCCTATTGATCAATTCTAGGGACCTTTTAGGCCTTGTCCATCTTTGAACCGAAGTTTTCTGCTCTTTATTTTGAGGTCGGACAAGATTTTGAGTCTACAGGAAGGTATTAGCTTCCCTACAATGCCCCATTCGGGTTCTTTATGACAAACCATTTTTATAAAGAAATAATAGCTCTAAATTGCGCTTTTACTCTTATTTATTCATTATGGAAATTAAAATATTGACTACATGGCCCTAAATGATTAATGCACAATAATACTATCTAAAAAGCAGTAAAGTAGAGAAGAGAGTATATAGGAACCTTCGAAACAAGCTTTTATAGTAAGTTCTTTGAAAGAGGGTGCTTTTTGGCAATCCCCACACTCTACAATGTTGATTGCTCTTCCTCGCAACACTACATAACGCTTTCTAAGAACACTAAGAGACTCTGGAAATGCTTCAGAGAGGTCCTAGGAGAGTAATTCAAAAGAAGTGCAGAAGGGAAAGTGGTAGAATGTTGTGAAAAGAGTGAGAAAGTCCCCCTTTTATAGGAATTCACACCTGTCAAATCGGGATTGTTGTCTCGCCTGATAAGGTCGGGACCGCCGTCTCACCAAACGGGACGGCGGTCTCGCCTTCAGCAAGTGGCGAGACAACCATCTTGCCAAACGAGATGGTGGTCTTGTCTTTAGCCAATGACGAGACGACGGTCTCGACCCTTTAGGTGGAATTTCTTTTTTTTTTTTCGTGTACACAAATCCTTCTTATTCTAATATGGAGCCTATTGATCAATTCTAGGGACCTTTTAGGCCTTGCCCATCTTCGAACAAAAGTCTTCTGCTCTTTATTT